AGTCAATGATTAGATCAACGTCTAGTGTGTTCAAGTCCGTGGTTAGATCAATCAACGTCTAGTGTGTTTAAGTCAATGGTTAGATCAACGTCTAGTGTGTTCAAGTCAGTGGTTAGATCAACCAACGTCTAGTGTGTTCAAGTCAATGGTTAGATCAACGTCTAGTGTGTTCCAGTCAATGGTTAGATCAACCATCGTCTAGTGTGTTCAAGTCAGTGGTTAGATCAACCAACGTCTAGTGTGTTCCAGTCAATGGTTAGATCAACCAACGTGTAGTGTGTTCAAGTCAGTGGTTAGATCAACCAACGTCTAATGTGTTCCAGTCAATGGTTAGATCAACCAACGTCTAGTGTGTTCAAGTCAATGGTTAGATCAAGGTCTAGTGTATTCAAGTCAATGGTTAGATCAACCAACGTCTAGTGTGTTCAAGTCAGTGGTTAGATTATCGTCTAGTGTGTTCCAGTCAATGGTTAGATCAACGTCTAGGGTGTTCAAGTCAGTGGTTAGATCAACCAACGTCTAATGTGTTCCAGTCAATGGTTAGATCAACCAACGTGTAGTGTGTTCAAGTCAGTGGTTAGATCAACGTCTAGTGTGTTCCAGTCAATGGTTAGATCAACGTCTAGTGTGTTCCAGTCAATGGTTAGATCAACGTCTAGTGTGTTCAAGTCAGTGGTTAGATCAACCAACGTCTAGTGTGTTCCAGTCAATGGTTAGATCAACGTCTAGTGTGTTCAAGTCAGTGGTTAGATCAATCAACGTCTAGTGTGTTTAAGTCAGTGTTTAGATCAACGTCTAGTGTGTTCAAGTCAGTGGTTAGATCAACCAACGTCTAGTGTGTTCAAGTCAATGGTTAGAGCAACGTCTAGTGTGTTCAAGTCAGTGGTTAGATCAATCAACGTCTAGTGTGTTTAAGTCAATGGTTAGATCAACCAACGTCTAGTGTGTTCCAGTCAATGGTTAGATCAACCAACGTCTAGTGTGTTCCAGTCAATGGTTAGATCAATCAACGTCTAGTGTGTTCAAGTCAATGGTTAGATCAATCAACGTCTAGTGTGTTCAAGTCAATGGTTAGATCAACCAACGTCTAGTGTGTTCCAGTCAATGGTTAGATCAACCAACGTCTAGTGTGTTCAAGTCAATGGTAAGATCAACGTCTAGTGTGTTCAAGTCAGTGGTTAGATCAACTTCTAGTGTGTTCCAGTCAATGGTTAGATCAACCAACGTCTAGTGTGTTCCAGTTAATGGTTAGATCAACGTCTAGTGTGTTCCAGTCAGTGGTTAGATCAACCAACGTCTAGTGTGTTCAAGTCAATGGTTAGATCAACCAACGTCTAGTGTGTTCCAGTCAATGGTTAGATCAACCAACGTCTAGTGTGTTCCAGTCAATGGTTAGATCAACCAACGTCTAGTGTGTTCAAGTCAATGGTTAGATCAACGTCTAGTGTGTTCAAGTCAGTGGTTAGATCAACTTCTAGTGTGTTCCAGTCAATGGTTAGATCAACCAACGTCTAGTGTGTTCCAGTTAATGGTTAGATCAACGTCTAGTGTGTTCCAGTCAGTGGTTAGATCAATCAACGTCTAGTGTGTTTAAGTCAATGGTTAGATCAACGTCTAGTGTGTTCAAGTCAGTGGTTAGATCAACCAACGTCTAGTGTGTTCCAGTCAGTGGTTAGATCAACCAACGTCTAGTGTGTTCAAGTCAATGGTTAGATCAACGTCTAGTGTGTTCAAGTCAATGGTTAGATCAACGTCTAGTGTGTTCCAGTTAATGGTTAGATCAACGTTTAGTGTGTTCAAGTCAATGGTTAGATCATCCAACGTCAAGTGTGTTCCAGTCAATGGTTAGATCAACGTCTAGTGTGTTCAAGTCAGTGGTTAGATCAACCAACGTCTAGTGTGTTCCAGTCAATGGTTAGATCAACCAACGTCTAGTGTGTTCCAGTCAATGGTTAGATCAACGTCTAGTGTGTTCAAGTCAGTGGTTAGATCAACCAACGTCTAGTGTGTTCCAGTCAATGGTTAGATCAACCAACGTCTAGTGTGTTCCAGTCAATGGTTAGATCAACGTCTAGTGTGTTCAAGTCAGTGGTTAGATCAACCAACGTCTAGTGTGTTCCAGTCAATGGTTAGATCAACCAACGTGTAGTGTGTTCCAGTCAATGGTTAGATCAACCAACGTCTAGTGTGTTCAAATCAATGGTTAGACCAACGTCTAGTGTGTTCCAGTCAATGGTTAGATCAACGTCTAGTGTGTTCCAGTCAATGGTTAGATCAACGTCTAGTGTGTTCCAGTCAATGGTTAGATCAACCAACGTCTAGTGTGTTCCAGTCAATGGTGAGATCAACCAACGTCTAGTGTGTTCCAGTCAATGGTTAGATCAACCAACGTCTAGTGTGTTCCAGTCAATGGTTAGATCAACCAACGTCTAGTGTGTTCCAGTCAATGGTTAGATCAATCAACGTCTAGTGTGTTCAAGTCAATGGTTAGATCAATCAACGTCTAGTGTGTTCAAGTCAATGGTTAGATCAACCAACGTCTAGTGTGTTCCAGTCAATGGTTAGATCAACCAACGTCTAGTGTGTTCAAGTCAATGGTAAGATCAACGTCTAGTGTGTTCAAGTCAGTGGTTAGATCAACTTCTAGTGTGTTCCAGTCAATGGTTAGATCAACCAACGTCTAGTGTGTTCCAGTTAATGGTTAGATCAACGTCTAGTGTGTTCCAGTCAGTGGTTAGATCAACCAACGTCTAGTGTGTTCAAGTCAATGGTTAGATCAACCAACGTCTAGTGTGTTCCAGTCAATGGTTAGATCAACCAACGTCTAGTGTGTTCCAGTCAATGGTTAGATCAACCAACGTCTAGTGTGTTCAAGTCAATGGTTAGATCAACGTCTAGTGTGTTCAAGTCAGTGGTTAGATCAACTTCTAGTGTGTTCCAGTCAATGGTTAGATCAACCAACGTCTAGTGTGTTCCAGTTAATGGTTAGATCAACGTCTAGTGTGTTCCAGTCAGTGGTTAGATCAATCAACGTCTAGTGTGTTTAAGTCAATGGTTAGATCAACGTCTAGTGTGTTCAAGTCAGTGGTTAGATCAACCAACGTCTAGTGTGTTCCAGTCAGTGGTTAGATCAACCAACGTCTAGTGTGTTCAAGTCAATGGTTAGATCAACGTCTAGTGTGTTCAAGTCAATGGTTAGATCAACGTCTAGTGTGTTCCAGTTAATGGTTAGATCAACGTTTAGTGTGTTCAAGTCAATGGTTAGATCATCCAACGTCAAGTGTGTTCCAGTCAATGGTTAGATCAACGTCTAGTGTGTTCAAGTCAGTGGTTAGATCAACCAACGTCTAGTGTGTTCCAGTCAATGGTTAGATCAACCAACGTCTAGTGTGTTCCAGTCAATGGTTAGATCAACGTCTAGTGTGTTCAAGTCAGTGGTTAGATCAACCAACGTCTAGTGTGTTCCAGTCAATGGTTAGATCAACCAACGTCTAGTGTGTTCCAGTCAATGGTTAGATCAACGTCTAGTGTGTTCAAGTCAGTGGTTAGATCAACCAACGTCTAGTGTGTTCCAGTCAATGGTTAGATCAACCAACGTGTAGTGTGTTCCAGTCAATGGTTAGATCAACCAACGTCTAGTGTGTTCAAATCAATGGTTAGACCAACGTCTAGTGTGTTCCAGTCAATGGTTAGATCAACGTCTAGTGTGTTCCAGTCAATGGTTAGATCAACGTCTAGTGTGTTCCAGTCAATGGTTAGATCAACCAACGTCTAGTGTGTTCCAGTCAATGGTGAGATCAACCAACGTCTAGTGTGTTCCAGTCAATGGTTAGATCAACCAACGTCTAGTGTGTTCCAGTCAATGGTTAGATCAACCAACGTCTAATGTGTTCCAGTCAATGGTTAGATCAACGTCTAGTGTGTTCAAGTCAGTGGTTAGATCAACCAACGTCTAGTGTGTTCAAGTCAGTGGTTAGATCAACGTCTAGTGTGTTCCAGTCAATGGTTAGATCAACCAACGTCTAGTGTGTTCAAGTTAATGGTTAGATCAACCAACGTCTAATGTGTTCCAGTCAATGGTTAGATCAACCAACGTCTAGTGTGTTCCAGTCAATGGTTAGATCAACCAACGTCTAATGTGTTCCAGTCAATGGTTAGATCAACCAACGTCTAATGTGTTCCAGTCAATGGTTAGATCAACGTCTAGTGTGTTCAAGTCAGTGGTTAGATCAACCAACGTCTAGTGTGTTCAAGTCAGTGGTTAGATCAACGTCTAGTGTGTTCCAGTCAATGGTTAGATCAACCAACGTCTAGTGTGTTCAAGTTAATGGTTAGATCAACCAACGTCTAATGTGTTCCAGTCAATGGTTAGATCAACCAACGTCTAGTGTGTTCCAGTCAATGGTTAGATCAACCAACGTCTAATGTGTTCCAGTCAATGGTTAGATCAACCAACGTCTAATGTGTTCCAGTCAATGGTTAGATCAACGTCTAGTGTGTTCAAGTCAGTGGTTAGATCAACCAACGTCTAGTGTGTTCAAGTCAGTGGTTAGATCAACGTCTAGTGTGTTCCAGTCAATGGTTAGATCAACCAACGTCTAGTGTGTTCAAGTCAATGGTTAGATCAACCAACGTCTAGTGTGTTCAAGTCAATGGTTAGATCAACGTCTAGTGTGTTCAAGTCAATGGTTAGATCAACCAACGTCTAGTGTTCTATCTATTTCTAGAATAAAGATACTTTATACTCCGGGCCGAAACATGATATGTGAAGGTAGCATTGCTCGATGTAGATGGCGACTGATAGCACAAAACGTTTTAGCAAGGCGCAACTTTACTGCTGTCGTTTAGCTGAATATTACGTATTATGTGTGTTTTACTGACATTTTTTATTACTCTGTATTCCATTGTTTAATACAAAAATATTGTAATTTAAAGTTGCGTACGTCCAAAAAAATAAAGTATTAGCTTTCGAAAATATAAATTAAAATAAAAATGTTTACCGGGTTAAAGAAAACCAGCTGTAGTCGTAGACTGGTAGAGTTTACAAGCTGAACTAAAAAATGTGCTGACATAAATTTGAGAGCTGTCTAACTAACTGAATCAGAGAATTGATTTTATTTCCCCGCGACCCCCCCATGTTCTGAGGAAATAACTAGAGCGTTTCAGGCAGTGGTGAAAAAATAAACCGCTCCTTTGTGACAAGACAGCACGTTTATAAAAAATTAAACGGTCCTTTTGATCCGAGAAAGCAAGAAAGCTTTGAAAGCTTCTAACTATCTGGGTCTGCTAGAGGAGCATTTAAAAAGTGTTTTGGGTTGCGGGGGGGGGGGGGGGATATCCAGTAGTTTTATAGTAGGTGTTCAATTGGTAGGCAACAGATGATAATAGGTTTACAATTAATAAACGGTAGGTAACAGTATGAATAGAATAGGTGTTGAAATAGAACTTACAATAAGATTAAAGTATGTGCTTACAACCTATGTGAAACCAGGAAAGCACATCAGTATCATCCAGTGAATAGCCAATGGCAGCAAGCCAACCGTCACGTGGTTTTGTTCAGCGAGAACTTCAAACCAGCATTAAGCCCGAGGGCTTCTCTCATAGCAAGTGTTCCAGCACTTGAGACAAACACTACAGCAGCTTTAGACAACCCACGAAAATATTCGCACAAGTCAGCGGCCCCCTCAAAAGCCAGAGGTTTTCAATAGATTATGGCGAATATATCTCGACATTTTTTTTATTTTAACATAAATAGTTGGGTGAGGGGGTTCGACTTAAATGATCAATTGCCTTAATTCGTATTCCTATTATTTTAATGTTCCAACAATTTTCTAATTTTCGATTGGAAAGATTTGACAGATTGTCCAAATGAAGAATATAAAGAAATTCACGTGTATTCGTTATATCAGGTACTTATCAAGGCACGAGCTAATATAGAGAAACCAGTTTTTGTCATTAGAAAAAAAGAAAAAATTAGACTACTTAAAAATAACAACAAAAAGTAATAAATAATCGGGTCTTAAACTTAAGGCAATAAATGAGTTTGAGTTTTAAATAAATTAGTATGGTGTATAGACGATTAAATAAATTAAAATAATGTATGGTTGATTAATTAAATTAATATAGTGTATGGTTGATTAAATAAATTAATATAGTGTATGGTTGATTAATTAAATTGATATAGTGTATGGTTGATTAAAAAATATTTATGGATTGTTGTTTTTTTCGTACTAGTTTGTATTTAATGTGTGGAAGTTATCATTGAGCTAGCCTAAGCCCCCCTCCCCGTCCTGCAATCGTCTAGAAAACTCGACTTCCTTATGACTACACCCCCCCCCACCACTTTACCCACTTATAAGTCATCAATGGATGCCCCAAAAAGTAGGGGGGGGGGGTAAAGCTTATCTAGGAAGAATGATTCATATGGGGTTGAATGGCTTTATAAATTGTGGGCTGGTCATATTGGTTTGTGTTGTGTTGTGGGCTAGTTTTATTGGTTTGTGTTGTTGGCTGGTCATATTGGTTTGTGTTGTGTTGTGGGCTAGTTTTATTGGTTTGTGTTGTTGGCTGGTCATATTGGTTTGTGTTGTGTTGTGGGCTGGTCATATTGGTTTGTGTTGTGTTGTGGGCTGGTCATATTGGTTTGTGTTGTGTTGTGGACTGGTCATATAGGTTTCTGTTGTGTTGTTGGCTGGTCATATTGGTTTGGGTTGTGTTGTTGGCTGGTCATATTGGTTTGGGTTGTGTTGTTGGCTGGTCATATTGGTTTGGTTTATGTTGTGGGCTAGTCATATTGGTTTGTGTTGTGTTGTGGGCTGGTCATATTGGTTTGTGTTGTGTTGTGGGCTGGTCATATTGGTTTGTGTTGTGTTGTTGGCTGGTCATATTGGTTTGTGTTGTTGGCTGGTCATATTGGTTTGTGTTGTTGGCTGGTCATATTGGTTTGTGTTGTGTTGTGGGCTGGTCATATTGGTTTGTGTTGTGTTGTTGGCTGGTCATATTGGTTTGTGTTGTGGGCTGATCATATTGGTTTGTGTTGTTGGCTGGTCATATTGGTTTGTGTTGTTGGCTGGTCATATTGGTTTGTGTTGTGTTGTGGACTGGTCATATTGGTTTGTGTTGTGTTGTGTTGTGGGCTGGTCATATTGGTTTGTGTTGTGTTGTGTTGTTGGCTAGTTTTATTGGTTTGTGTTGTGTTGTGGGCTGGTCATATTGGTTTGTGTTGTTGGCTGGTCATATTGGTTTGTGTTGTGTTGTGGGCTGGTCATATTGGTTTGTTTTGTGTTGTTGGCTGGTCATATTGGTTTGTGTTGTTGGCTGGTCATATTGGTTTGTGTTGTGTTGTGGACTGGTCATATTGGTTTGTGTTGTGTTGTGGGCTGGTCATATTGGTTTGTGTTGTGTTGTGGACTGGTCATATAGGTTTCTGTTGTGTTGTTGGCTGGTCATATTGGTTTGGGTTGTGTTGTTGGCTGGTCATATTGGTTTGGGTTGTGTTGTTGGCTGGTCATATTGGTTTGGTTTATGTTGTGGGCTAGTCATATTGGTTTGTGTTGTGTTGTGGGCTGGTCATATTGGTTTGTGTTGTGTTGTGGGCTGGTCATATTGGTTTGTGTTGTGTTGTTGGCTGGTCATATTGGTTTGTGTTGTTGGCTGGTCATATTGGTTTGTGTTGTTGGCTGGTCATATTGGTTTGTGTTGTGTTGTGGGCTGGTCATATTGGTTTGTGTTGTGTTGTTGGCTGGTCATATTGGTTTGTGTTGTGGGCTGATCATATTGGTTTGTGTTGTGTTGTTGGCTGGTCATATTGGTTTGTGTTGTTGGCTGGTCATATTGGTTTGTGTTGTGTTGTGGACTGGTCATATTGGTTTGTGTTGTGTTGTGTTGTGGGCTGGTCATATTGGTTTGTGTTGTGTTGTGTTGTTGGCTAGTTTTATTGGTTTGTGTTGTGTTGTGGGCTGGTCATATTGGTTTATGTTGTGTTGTAGGCTTGTCATATTGGTTTGTGTTGTGGGCTGGTCATATTGGTTTGTGTTGTTGGCTGGTCATATTGGTTTGTGTTGTGTTGTTGGCTGGTCATATTGGTTTGTGTTGTTGGCTGGTCATATTGGTTTGTGTTGTGTTGTGGACTGGTCATATTGGTTTGTGTTGTGTTGTGTTGTGGGCTGGTCATATTGGTTTGTGTTGTGTTGTGTTGTTGGCTAGTTTTATTGGTTTGTGTTGTGTTGTGGGCTGGTCATATTGGTTTATGTTGTGTTGTGGGCTGGTCATATTGGTTTGTGTTGTGTTGTGGGCTGGTCATATTGGTTTGTGTTGTGGGCTGGTCATATTGGTTTGTGTTGTTGGCTGGTCATATTGGTTTGTGTTGTGTTGTTGGCTGGTCATATTGGTTTGTGTTGTGGGCTGGTCATATTGGTTTGTGTTGTGGGCTGGTCATATTGGTTTGTGTTGTGGGCTGGTCATATTGGTTTGTGTTGTGTTGTTGGCTGGTCATATTGGTTTGTGTTGTGGGCTGGTCATATTGGTTTGTGTTGTGTTGTGGGCTTGTCATATTGGTTTGTGTTGTTGGCTGGTCATATTGGTTTGTGTTGTGGGCTGGTCATATTGGTTTGTGTTGTTGGCTGGTCATATTGGTTTGTGTTGTGGGCTGGTCATATTGGTTTGTGTTGTGGGCTGGTCATATTGGTTTGTGTTGTGGGCTGGTCATATTGGTTTGTGTTGTGGGCTGGTCATATTGGTTTGTGTTGTGGGCTGGTCATATTGGTTTGTGTTGTGTTGTTGGCTGGTCATATTGGTTTGTGTTGTGGGCTGGTCATATTGGTTTGTGTTGTGTTGTGGGCTTGTCATATTGGTTTGTGTTGTTGGCTGGTCATATTGGTTTGTGTTGTGGGCTGGTCATATTGGTTTGTGTTGTTGGCTGGTCATATTGGTTTGTGTTGTGGGCTGGTCATATTGGTTTGTGTTGTGGGCTGGTCATATTGGTTTGTGTTGTGGGCTGGTCATATTGGTTTGTGTTGTGTTGTTGGCTGGTCATATTGGTTTGTGTTGTGGGCTGGTCATATTGGTTTGTGTTGTGTTGTTGGCTGGTCATATTGGTTTGTGTTGTGGGCTGGTCATATTGGTTTGTGTTGTGTTGTTGGCTGGTCATATTGGTTTGTGTTGTGTTGTGGACCGGTCATATTGGTTTGTGTTGTGTTGTGGACTGGTCATATTGGTTTGTGTTGTGTTGTGTTGTGGGCTGGTCATATTGGTTTGTGTTGTGTTGTTGGCTGGTCATATTGGTTTGTGTTGTGTTGTTGGCTAGTTTTATTGGTTTGTGTTGTGTGCTGGTCATATTGGTTTGTGTTGTGCAGCAGACTGATGAGGCACGGACAGCTCAAAAGTCATTTTTTCGTCTGAAAAAAAAGGGATTTGGGGGGGGGGGTCCGTCTTAGTATACGAACGCTATAAATGACGTGTGACCCCCCCCCCCCCCCACTCCTGAAAGCGTCCACAAAACCCGACTTCCCTATGACCACCCCACCCCCTCTCCTATCCCGAACGGACGTCATAAATAGATAACCCTAAGGGAAGTAGCGGGTCTAAGGAGAAGGATTCACTAGTGTTTAAGGCTTTATAAATGGCGTAATGAGATGGATTCAATTGTGTTAAGGCTTTATAAATGGCGTAATGAGATGGATTCACTTGTGTTTAAGGCTTTATAAATGGCGTAATGAGAAGGATTCACTAGTGTTTAAGGCTTTATAAATGGCGTAATGAGATGGATTCACTTGTGTTTAAGGCTTTATAAATGGCATAATGAGATGGATTCACTTGTGTTTAAGGCTTTATAAATGGCGTAATGAGAGGGATTCATTTGTGTTTAAGGCTTTATAAATGGCGTAATGAGAAGGATTCACTAGTGTTTAAGGCTTTATAAATGGCGTAATGAGAAGGATTCACTAGTGTTTAAGGCTTTATAAATGGCGTAATGAGAGGGATTCATTTGTGTTTAAGGCTTTATAAATGGCGTAATGAGAAGGATTCACTAGTGTTTAAGGCTTTATAAATGGCATAATGAGATGGATTCACTTGTGTTTAAGGCTTTATAAATGGC